CGAGTGCCATTTCAGCACTAACAACAGTCGGAAAACTTTTTTGGTCGGGTGAGATTCAGTTTACCGAGTTGACTTTTCTTCCGTTTTGGAAAACTTTTTAATTTTATTAATAAAATAATTTATTTACACAAATAAAAATATTAGTAGCTGGGCCCCGTTGCAGCCCAAGCGAGAAGCTATTGGGCTGGGTCTGTTGTAACAAAAATGGGCCACCTGGTTCTGCAAAATACTTCCGTAATTGTAAAATTTCACAAATAATGTAATAATAAAAAGAATAATAAAATAAAGCCAATATATATTTGTCTCGTATCGCATTAATATATCTGACAAATTTATACTTAAATTTAGATTTATCACACCAAAATCAAACGATGAAAATTAATTATATTATAGTACAACCCTAAGAAAATATTTATATGAAAGAATAATTATCCATATATTTAATTCGTAGTTTAGAACTACCGCAAGATTCTTTGAAGTTAGAGGGTTTTAAACCTTAAGCATCAAATAATATAAAATATAAGTTCTTATCCGAAATACAACCTCTTTCGATTCCCTATAAGATTATTTCAACAAAAATTATTATACATGTAAAAACAACGATCATATAATTAATAATAAAAAGACTTATTAGGATTTAATAGTTAAACATTCATTATCTAACACAAAATATATTTGTTCTTAAAAATCATTAAAAACGTTTTACGCTCTTAATCTGTAGTAGTGAATATGCATTTTTAATATTGCACGCAATAATTCTATAACTTACATTATATACTTATAGTTCATGATCTATACATCATCAACATCCACCGTACATATAAAAGTAAGAGTTGTTTATCTTACATGTATAGATATATATGTATTAAATATCATTTTGCATGTGTGTATAACACTTGGAGATATATAAGTTTGACTATATTAAAATTGTTAAAAAGTACTATGTGGACTTCTAACATTCGAAGTAAAAGATAGAACTTGTTAAATCTCTGTTTATTATCTGTATACTAAAAACATGATGCATGATAGCTTCTTTGTAATCTATAACTTCAAAACATATTTCCCATATAAATTACTGAATTTAACAAAATATTTATTTATGACGTCTTGGTAATATGTTTATCGTCTAACTACTAAAGACACAGTATTTATATTTAACGGCCAGTGATTTTTTTTCCTTAGTGTATACAAACTAATTTTGGAGCAATAAAGTTTGTTTTGGTAAAATGCTATCAAATTTTTCAATATTAATTTCAAATCGTGCCAAGAAACAAGAGTTTTATAAAAATGGCAATTATTTAATTTTCTCTCCTAACTCCTTTAAAATTTTTACCTATTGAAATAATATGTGGAATGTCAAATATTTTGCGACTATAAAAGAACAGTCTCAAATGTAAAAAATTGGTCATACTTTCCAAGTCAAAGATATATTCACATTTAAATGAATAAAAAGATATAACTAGTAAATAATTTATAATAAGAATGGACTTGAAATTCCACAAATTTATTTTCATCTAGATATGGAGAAGGGATTACATCATTTCCACATTTGAGTTTAATCACATATACGAACAGTCCACCTTATTTTATAAATAGGGAGAATCATATTTTCTTTACCCATTAAGCTCTGATAATACTATTCTCCTCAAAATACAAAAAGAAACACTCAATACAAATTATAGTTTCTTAAGCATGGCAAGACAAACTTGCACCCACTTCTTGGTTCTTGTCCTTATTTTCTCAGGTTTGTCAAATATCAATTCAAATTACAATTACAAACACTCAGAACGTTTTTAAAATATAGATAATAACTTAGTATTACATTTATTTTCTTTTCTTACAGGCTTTTATATTTGATAATCAATATTCAACCACAAAAAATTTCATAAAGTTGTTTTAAGTTTAATCTTTCTGATAATTAATGCATTATGTATGTAACTTAGATGGTTTTAATATTTATTTTTTAAAGTTAGCTATCATTAGATAATGTTGTGTGCTGAGGGTAATTGACGTTTTTCTCTTTGAATTGATTACAGTTCTTCTCGTTGTTCCTTTAGTTAAAGGACAGAAGAGATGTACGAAAGTATTAAATCCCAACGACTGTATCCTTGCAAATTGCAGGGCACAATGCCTGCAGCAATATAATGGAAACGGACAATGTATCGAAAACCCACCTGGTTCTGCAAAATATTTTTGTGATTGTGTTTACAATTGTTGAGTTTAATTTAACCATACTTTTGTGTGAGGTTAAATTTTATTAATCATATGATATCAAAAAATAATGAAAGTAATAATAAAATATTGTTATTATATATTTACTTTGTGTATAATTAAATTTTAAGTTATAATATCAAAGTCAATTGATGAAGATTAATTATAATATAGTACAATTCTAAGAAAATATTTATATGGGAGAATAATTAGCCATATATTCAATTTGTAGTTTAGGACTAGTGCAAGATTCTCCATAGTTGGAGGGCATCAAAACTTAAGCACATCCCAATTTGTACTTTGAGATTTTCAACACCATTTGGATACCTATAATATTCCACGATATGGAATACTAGTGGCATAAATAATTATTAGCTTAAAAACTTCTTTGCAACATAGATAAAATTCATTTCTATATACTTTAAATTTTAAATATAAGGAGCTCTCTTTGACTAAGTGATTTTATTCAAAGTCTAAAACATAATTATATATATATATATATATCC